ATTTAGATTTCAGCCTTTTAGCCTTTTTTTACAACAATTTAATAAAAATTAAAATACATTATAATATATATATATTATATGGAAATATGTAATATATTACTTATTAACTATATGGTCCTCGAAAGTTTAGTATAATATGCGTTAATACTTTTAACTGATATACCTAATTTTCAAGAGCTAAATATTTTTTTCTTATAACTACAGGTAGTTAATCGTTAAATCAGTAATCGAAAATAGTCAGAAAAAAAAACATAATGAAAATTGTGTTTACCAACACAGTTCATTATTTATAGTAAATTTTCATGATATAAAATTGAGAACAATTTTATTTTATAATTAATATTTATTAAGTAATAATAATTTATCTACTACCTATACCTATACCTACTTCAATATATATATATTTTTTTAAATGTATTGGAAGCGTTAAAAAAATATATTTTGGGGATAAAGATGGGCCCCCAAAATCAATGGGCCCCGTTATCGTGCCACCTTTGCCCCCCCTTAATCCGGGCTTGTGTGTTAGCTTGTATTTTAGAGTGGACTACTGGAGAAATGAATATTTTGATTTTACAATGATTTGTATATGATTCTCGTTTAAACGATTTTCTTATTTTGTTGTTATTCGACAACTATTAACTGTCGGTATTTAAAATGTCCATCAAATGTTTAAACTATCATAATATATATTATATAATGTTCAAAATATTTCGACTCGTTTTCAGTGATTTATAGACATTTGAATTATGAAATGTTTTTAGTTCTGTATTCTATGAATTTTATTCGTTAGGTCAAAAAGCTTAAAATTAATACAAAGTTAATCGTAAGTTGATATAATAGCAGTTAAAAAATATTAGAAATATATAGGCACGTTTTTATTTACGGGCATTTAAAATTCAAATTTCTACAAAATTCATCATAATCTTGACAATTTTCAAAATATTTTGTAGTCAGATATTCATACAAAAATTTCTTATTTGTTTATCTATAATATGAAAATGTAATAAGAGTTTATTCATGAGTAGTTATAATAGCAATTGAGAAACAATAAAGATCCATATAAGATCCATTTTTTTAAGAAATCAAAGTTCAATTTTTAACAAAATTTATCAAATTGATAGTTTACAAATTACTATTTAGTAGTAAAATTTATAAAATGTTCAACTTTTATTGGTAACGATTGAAAATGTAAAACAAGAATTCTCAAAAATAGTCCATAGAGAGTGTTCATACTCTAACAAAAAAAAACTAAATAATTTATTAAAAACACAGTTAATTTTCACAGACATTATAAGTCAAAATTTGGACGAAATTACTTATTAAAACAAAGAATAACGATTTTAGTTATTTTGTTGTTTTAACCGACACTTTACCGGACATTGTAAGAACGGCCCTCAGAGTATATTATTATAATTTGTATACACGAATACACGATGACACTTTTAAATGTAATTTTTTGGGCAAAAATTACTATAAACTACTGCTGTACTAATGCTTAATAATCTGTAGCCAATGTGGTTATGATCATAAAAAACTATTCCACTCAAATTTAAAATACTTTGTTTTATTATTTTTTATAGCGAAATATGATTTATTTTTTACCATATATTTTAGAAAAAATGAAAGTAAAATTAAGCCCCAAAAGAATATGAAAAAAAACTTACTTTAATAGTTTAATTATCGACTCTTTCGGCGAAATCCGTCACGTGAGTGACGCCGATGACGAAACGCTCCAGAGAATACAAAATTTCAAATATTGTGATTTTTGAAAATTAAAATTATAAGGAACGCAGTAAGTTTTTTGCTCATATCTGCTTAGCTTGTTGAAATTTTGGAATTTTTAATGACGATTGTGTCTGCTGCAATGACTGAGATTTGCCATGGAATATAAATGAATAATGATAGATATTATACTAGGTACGTCATATGATGAATCCACGGATATCATATAATGCAACTTTTTATATCAAAGAGTTCCATGTTAAGGAACAATATTTGTTCGTTGAAATTTTGTATGACAAAAATCAAAATAGTTTATAATTTTGAATTTGAATTATAATAATAATAGGTATCAAATATGATATATTATTTGAATTTTTATTTTCGTTTATTAATTTAATTATTTATTAATATGGTGAATAGATATCTGCAGAAGTACAAGCATATTTTTATAAAAGCGTATTGTATTTTATAAATCATTAAATAAAAATGTGATTACTGGATTTTAGGTAACATAAAGGTATACTCAGTAAATTCATCAAATTTACAGTATCGGTTATAATACCAACTGAATTCTAAAATTTCAAATCTAACATTTTCTACGAATACTGCTGATCACAAAATTATTAATTATTATTCAATATTATGAAAATTTTAATTGTATCAGGGACCTATAATTTGTATTTTAGATTCTGAGTGGAACGATGAATATTTTGATTTTACTATGATGTGTATTTAATTTTTAATTTTTTTTTTATTATTTCTTTGTTGTGTTTGATGTGTACACGATAAGTAGGTAGTCAAATTCGACCTTCGTTTTCCATGCATAATATATTATAGGTACTCCGTATGTAATCAATGATCATATTGTTTATTTTTAATTCAATTTTTGTAGAAAAGTGTTTTGTGTAGGCATAATAAATGTTACATTAAAATTTAAAAAATTCAAAAATTAGAATATAGGCACTACAGTTTCCAGCTTCTACTACAACATTACGTTATATTATGTTTTTAATTATTAAAATGCCTAAAAAGTAAACGTAAATCCCAAAATAATATGAAAACAAACTTACGCTGAAACATCGAATCTTCCGGTGAAACCTAGCTAGAGTGCATCAACAATGCAAACGTCCAGTACGTGAAGCCACCGAAAAAACAGCTATCTTCATCCGTCTTCATCTCGTTCCGAACTGTAACTTGAAACTATGGAAATATTTCATGAAAATTACCTGAACATAACGAAATGTGCGAATTCGTGTTAAAACTTACATTATTATATATACTGCTTAACGAACTATCTGTATATTATATTGATGGCTTATTATTTTTTTTTTTTAACAAAACTATTAGAATTGTTAATAGTCGCAGACGAATATCGACAATTGGCGATTGCCATATATGATATAAAATATATTATTTAATATGATAAATCCATAGAACTTCTACACTCAACACACATGCACGGTCTATTGATACACCGTGTGTTCTTTTACAGAAATCTTCGTGGTCTGCAATGTATTCTTGTTTTCTATTTCAGTTATTTATCGTATACTAAATTTAACCAAACTAATTAGTCCACAAGTTTATAGACATCACAAATATATACTATAAAATATAGAGTATATTATTATAATTTATATACACGAATACACTATGACACTTTTAAATGTAATTTTTTGGGAAAAAATGACTATAACCTACTGCTGTACTAATGCTTAATAATCTGCAGTCTGCACTTTGTTCCGGTGCACAGTGGGCGGAACTTCGAAAATAGCTGGACAAAAATATAATTTTCATTTAACTCATAATTGTTTTGAAATTGATGTTATTCGTTTATAAGAATGTTATAGTCAACAAAATACAAAAATTATCAGCAGTTTTTGACAGATAATGATATTTATATATTCAGTGGCGTAGCCAGGGGGGGGTTTTGGGTGTTTAAACACCCCCCATTGACATTTTCCTCCCTAATAAAAATATTGTTTATAGGGTTTGGGACTCCTCGCATTATTTTAGATAAGTTATAAATTTGTCTTATGAAATTTTTTAAATGGCTAATCAAACAAAGTTTGAATTTGCATATTTTAGGAAAAGTGTTCATTTGAGCGATTTTTCGCATATTTATTCATATTTTGCATTTTTCTAACTTAAAAATATGATGTTTGGTGAGGTACAATAGGCTCTAATTTTGAGATTTGGGGAGGCCGAAGCCTAAAACCATACTATTATAAAATTGAATTAAAAAAATTTAGTAAATGATTGGGAGGGCTGTTAAAGACGTTAAAGTTGTTGGTGGAGCTTGGCTATACGGTTTGCTATATTTTCGTATAGTTATGGTATGTAAGATTTCATAAGTCTCTTTGTAACAAGACTGTGTTAAAACTATAATTGACATCTACATTCTAGATTGTACGAAGAAATGAAAATCAGTAGATATACGTGTTCGTTTATTACGGTGTTCGCATATCACGTTATTCTTTATTACATATTTATTAACCTAGTATTTTATTCCAGTATATTTTTAAAAATCAAGTTGATTTATTTCACAATAGTTTAAAAATGTACAAAACATGCAATAGAGTACTCCGTCCATCACATTAATTAATATAGGTATAACCTACCTATATTAAAATTAGTAAGTCCGTGTATAAATTATTTATATACCTACTTATTTTTTAGTATTTTATTACCAAAATTGTAGTATGTTTATATTAAAGAATATGTAGTATATATTTAAGAATATTTTGACAACTTTGACTGCATCATATTTCGATAATATTTAGTGCAACAAGTCAAGTCCCGAACCCTAAATTTATTGATATACGAAAACTGTAAAAACTTGGTTTTAATCTATACTTAAACACCCCCCATTTCATAATCCTGGCTACGCCACTGTATATATTGCGATAAGATAATAATTGGTCAGTCATACAATATTTTGCCTCATTTGCTCTTGAGAATTCAAGTGGTAATAGTCATTCAATTTCCGGTTTTTATATTTTATTTACGATGGAGGTTACTAATGAAGGTATGTATTAGAGTTTATGTTTCATAATAATAATTTTAACCACCCATTTAATAGTATTATAAATAATCAATGCATAATTATACGTTTAATTTTAAATATTTTAAATTTAATGGTAGTTTTAAAAAAATGGTCAAAACTGACCTCTATAAATAGTATGCCAAATTGTTATACAGTTCATAAAATTTAATTTTATGTATATTTTGTTTGCTCTTCGTTGCTTCTATTAAAATAATTATCATTTTTGTCAGGTGTTATGCGTAGAGAATTATTTGAATTTTTAAGAAAAAATGGAAATATAAGACCACTGGATGCCCAATCTCGAAAAATCATAATTGAATATGTAGAAAATAAGTTAAATGTACGCAGTATTCAAACAAATATTCCTTCGGTCATTTTTACTTTTTTATCAAGCCTTCAAAAAAAATGGAAAGAGTGTGGTCGTAGTGCAAATAAATTGTATTTAAAATACTCTCTCTGGCTGGATACTAAATTAATGTTTTCTTTTAAAAAAAATGAGCCTAATAATACTATGACTGAAGGCCGTGGTCGTCCAAAAAAACCTTTTCAAGAAAGCTGTGAAAAAACAAAAAAAAGAAAGGTTCAACATTTGTTAGACTCGCATAGTTCTCAGGAATTAGCATTTTCTTCTCGTCTAAGCTTACACCGTTCTGGTAAAAGGCATGCTTCGTCAGTTATTCAAGAAGTGACCGAAAAAACACCAACTCGAGCTCATAAATTTAAAAAAGCATATAAAATGTCCATGCGTAAGCCTCGGAAGCGAGAAATAAGCATTACAGATCTTTTCGAGAACATTTCACTAGGAAAACCAGTCGGATTGATACAAATATAGATCTTCTTCATCGTTTAGTCGTTACTTCTGATCCGGTTATATCATCAATACGGCCAAATCCTTCCAAAAAAATGGTGCCAATATCCCCAGAAGTGTTAACTCTTTTAACTAGTTCAGATTCAATACCTAGAGAAAAAACCGTTGCTATTCCAAACTCAGAATCTGAATAAAATAGTATAATATTAAATGTTAAATATTATTATGTTAAATTTGTTTAATGTATATTTAAGACGACTTATAACCAATGTTCAATATTATTCAACTCCTGTAAATTATACGTAAAAAAACATTAAACAAAATTATGTTACATTTATTATTTTTGTCCAGCTATTTTCGAAATTCCACCCACTGTGCGGTGATTTTACACGTAATATAATAAAATTGATACTAGTGATTTGTACCCGATTGTTTAATTCAATTATTTACAAGATTTCAATAAAAAAATATCTATGAAGTATAATAGTATAAACATCCGCATTTCTATTAACTATAAATTCTTAATTGTATGAGCCATACATATTACATATATTTTTCGAAAAAATTATTTAATGTCTCACGGGTTGATCTAGCAACTGACTGCTACGACAACTGTACAATTTTTTTAAGCATAACCCGTTTTGATAACATCCAGAAAAGAGTTTGTCTTAAGACTGTCTGTCTTGATAACAACTAATTTAATTTAAAGTGTATTGTTATATTATATGAATATATGATAATGGAAAATAATAATTATAAAAATTTATAATTGCAAAACATTTAATATCTAGACTTATAGCATATAAACTACACTACAAAATTTGTGAGTATGCTAATAAAATACAAGAGGTTTATAATGTATTTATGTATATAAAATATAAAGATTGATAACATTATAATGTTTTAAATACTTCACGCAAAACCTAAGGTGATACCAGGCTTATAGTATACCTATGCAAAAAGGCACTTATTAAACTTGGAGTAGTGAAACGAAGACGGACTTTGGACTGTTCGGTCCCGCGTATTTTATACATGGCGCTATTAGGATTAAACTTATAAATGCTTCTACGTCACCCAGTTAACAGATTGTCCGGGGCAATAAATATTTAATTTAAGTCTTAAAGTAAATGTAAAATACTAAAATAGCAATAATATGAAAACAAACTTACGAGTAAACATCGACTCTTCCGGTGAAATTTAGCTAGACTGCCGCCGTCGCCGAAAAAACGGCTATATTTATCCATCATCATCTTGCTCAGAACTGTAACTTGAAAGTATCGAAATATTTAATGAATTTAATCTGACCATAACGAAATGTGTGAATTTGTGCTAACAAACTGTCCGTATATATTGATCGCTTATTATTTTTTTGTTCACTGAAATTATTAGAATTGTTAATCGTTAATCGTCGCCGACGAATGTCGACAATAATTGACGATAGCCATAGATAAAATATATTATTTAGTATTTACTATGATAAATCCATAGAACTTATATTCTATACTCAGTACCTAATCGGTCTTTGTTAAATCGTACGTACTTTTACAGAAATTTTTGTGATCAGCAATGTACTTATTCTGGTTTTCTATTTCATTCATAGTTCGCATGCCAAATTTAACTATCCGAAACTGGTATAGACATTCTATTAAATTACAATGTGAATTATTATAAGTCTCCTTTTTGGTACTTGCCAAAAACTCGACTACCGGGATTTAAATTTAAAAAAATGTGATTTAGGTAACCTATTGGCTATTGATCTATTATAAAATAGAAACTGAACCTACCAATAATATCACTATATAAAATAATTAAATGTGATAATTTGAAGACAATTTCTTAAAACCTCTAAAATATTTTTTTAATTTAGTGTTATAAATTTATAATCTAGTTAAGCGGCGCTCAAGCAAATTTTTCAATTTTTTTTTTTTCGGTAACCCATGTGTTGCGACCAGTTAAGATGTATATCTATGATGCAAAAATTAACTTGCCGGAAATTATTAGTTTTTATGGTAAAGCTTTACGAAGTTCACGATTTTCGGTGTTTTAAGTGCTTGTAAAAATTTTGTTTTTTTAAAAAGAAAATCACCATCATTATTTATTTTTGAATAGGTACCTAAAATATAAAAAATATTATATTATACATAGACTTCAGGGCCCATACATTGAATGTGTCCGGGGTCCCAAGAATCCTAATTGCGGCACTGGTAGGTACCATCTATTAACCATTAAGTAGATATTACATGTATTTTTACTGTTATTAATTGTTATTATATTTTGTATTATTCGAAAGTAGAAAGTTATTAGTTATGAAAAATCGATTTTCTTTTATAAATAGTATGTTTATTATTATTTATATTTGTTTCTTAATAATTAATAAAAGAACTCTTTTATAGTGAAAATTGATCATCATATTACTTGACCAAGGAGAAACAAAGTACATTTATACGTATCTATATATATAATCGCACTCTATTGCGTGTTTAAATGTCACGTTTCTTATATAATATAATAGGTACTGTTTCATCTGGTATCCACTGTATGTACCTATCTTGTTTGATCGACGTGTGATATACTGATATGTGTCGCCGGTGTAACGACTCAAGCAATAATAATAGTAATTATTATTTTTACTATGTACAATCTTCTAAAACCTAACCTCGTTTGGAACTGTCAAACACTCAAACCGACGACGACGTTTGTGTGTCCACAACTCCGCCGCTACAAAATAAAACACAAAGTAATATAATATCAGTATTTAATAGTTTAGGTACCTAAGTACCTATATATTTATTCGACCTGCAGTGCATGAAGAATATACCTACCTAACCACCAAAACATTCGGGACCCGGTTTATTAGAAAATTCATCGTAACTTTGTCAAACGCTGAAAATGTATTTTTTTATTCTGTAAAATTAAACACGGTGGTATCTTGTATAAAATATAGTTAAGTACCTACCTACCTATTATTTTATATCGTTCAAATTGCCTTATGCTTATGGTCGTATATTTATCAGTGTTTAACCAAAGCGTACATCAATAATATTCACATACCTAAATTATAAACGTCCGAGATGATTATTATTTCAATAGATCAATATATTATATAATTTAGTACGGACCTATAACCTATTGACTATTACATAGTAACTACGTACCAACGTAAGGACTTGTTGCTTGATGGTGTTAAATATTTTCGGAAGTGGCCCGCCTTAAATTTAGCACACTTAAAATAAATTGAAATGGTGTCCGTTAGTGAATAACATAATATAAGATTATCTTTGGACGAATGATTTATAAATATCATCCATAATATAATTAGGTATACAAATATATAGTACCATTAGTACCTGTTATATACAGATGTACTATATAGGTTCCTACATATTCTATTAATTACTAATTATTACTATACAGACATATACCTGAATATTACTTTTAGTCATTGCTAATTCATATTCTAATACCCAAAGCTGGGCAAGTTAACCAATTTGTTTAACTAGTTAAAGTTAAGTTAAACCTAAAATAAAAAATAACTAAGTTAAGTTAAAGTTAGTTTTAAAAAGTTACTGTACTTTAGTAACTAAGTTAAGTTACAAATTTTGATGAAAATAATAACTAAGTTAAGTTAAAAGTTAAGTTACTTTTTTTTTTTTTTAAATACCTTTAACTTACTCATAAACGTTTTTTTTTATCTCATCGTAGGAAAAGAACTAATTTTGGTTTAAAGTAAAACAAATTGACTACAATTATTTCTTATATATCATTTTATTTATATACAGGGCCGGATTGGTATGTATCGGCCCATCAATATTTTCATTTCTATAAGCGGCCCATTTACATATATATTCAGTCGCCTAAAACTACGTCTATAATTATTACGAGCTTATAGATGGCCAATTAATCGTATTTTAAACATGAATTTATTTTCACTCACACTCACACCGGCCCAAACTTTAAGCAGCCCACCGAGATTTTCTCGGTAGCTCACCTAACCAATCCGGCCCTGTTTATATACGAATATAATATTATAGGAATGTAGAGTGTAGTTTGTAGAAAACACTGCATAAGTATCACAGTATCAGAATTTACTAATTAGGTCCGTTCTGGAAATTGTATTATTACCTACCTATCAATGTACATAGTACTACACTAGTAACAATGTAGCATACATCTTAACTGTTGTCATTTCATAGAAAGTATTAACTTCCTAGTTACATTACAAATAAGTACCTATAATAAGTAAATAAAAATAATCACTATTTACTATAATACTACTAATTAGTAATTACTATATGTCTATATTAAAGTATATTATAGACTATAATAAATAGAAATAAATAAAATAATATACATATAATCTCCGTCCGAAACATTTTTGTAAATAACTTTTTACAAATAACTTTCATTTTAACAAAATAACTAAGTTAAGTTACAATTATTTATAACAAGAAATAACTTAGTTACTAACTAAGTTATTTTCTACATTCTATTTTTTTTTTAACTAGTTAAGTTAAAAGTTATCAAAAAAAGTAACTTTTAACTTAACTTTTAACTTTTTAACTAGTTACTGCCCAGCTTTGCTAATACCATGGATGATTGTGCACTGTGCAGGAGGCAACAAGATTTTTTCCTACTAAGTTTAGTATGATTTTGTTATGCGATTGATAACTCATTATTAAACTATTCGATGGTCATTACTATACGACTTGTTCGATATTAATATATTATAATTTATAATGACGGCTTTTATTCTTAGTTATTTATTGCTCACTTCAAGTACCTATACAATATTCACAAATATTTGGCATCATCAACGTTATAGCATCATATATAAATAAACGGACGACAGATTCACGATACCAGAAGAAACAAGCATTCAAGCCAGAGACACCCAAATTCAAATACATGCTCCAGTCATATCAACCCATTTTTATTTTAATAAAACTACAATTTAAAATAACCACAACCGAAACACATCGTAACATTCAAATAAATCAGACACCTGAGTTAATTGTTTTGATCAG